GCTCTCTCTCTCTCGCTCTCTCTCTCTCTCTCTCTCTCTCTCTCTCGATCTAGTGCTTTGTTTTGTTCATGACATCTGGTCAAATGTGGAACCACATCCGAGGACCTCCATACGCTCACAAGAACCCAAACACTGGCCAAGTGGTTAGTAAAACCCTTACCTCACGTGCCTTTGTATATTTTTTTTGTTTGGTTTTATACTTTAAAGACCCCATGAAATGGCTTGACATGATAACCCCACTTTGCTGTGCTGATGTATTTCATATTGAGAATTGTTTGTCAGTTTTTTATATATATATATAATTCTAGAGAGCATTTGATATCTTAAATGTGTGGATTTGATGAAAGTTTATTTTGTAAACTTGCATAATGCTAATATCCATAGACTAAAAGCCACAAAACATTTCAGTTTCTTGAGGTCTTTAAAGGGGTCATGACATGCATGCAATATTATTATTATTATTATTATTTCAAGTTTTTTGCTGTCATGTACAATAAAAATATATCTGCAAAACATTCTGCACTGTCATTCAGACGCTCAATCAGAAAATCGCTCCGTTGTTGGTTTTTTGTCTATTTTAAGGCTTGTCAGTAGACACTGTTATGATTGAATGATGCCACTGCATCGCCTCACTGCACTGAAAAATAGATTTTTTTTAATGTCACGATCCCTTTAAGTTTTCATTTGTTCAAGTTTTATTTCAAATGAGAGGTTAAATTAGTTTATTTTGCTTTGGCTACAGTCGGTCATTCTAGTGGTGACAACAACCATGCATGTCACTTCTGCAGGCTGCGTCATACTCTGTGAGATAAAGTGTCACTCTTTTCACAGCTTTTGCCAGCACTTGCATGTTATTTCTCCTGCTCTTTTTCTAGAAAAAATTCACTCATCACTAAATGAAAACTTAAAGTGAAGACCTGATTTTTGTTTGTTTTATTTAGTAACTTTCAGGAGGGTGTACTTATTTTTGCAGCACAAAATTTTATCACTTTGATAGGAAAATCTTATTTTGCTGAATAATTTTGGCATTCTTCTTTAATAATTGATCAAGCAGGCTTGTTGGAACATTACATCTCCAAAGAACCCTAACATGTCTTCTAAGTAAAAAGTAATTGCTGAATTAGTTCAGTTTTAGAGGAGGTGTACTCATTTATGAGGACCGAGTTTGGGCACCCCTGGTCTTTACACTCTTCGGTCTTCACACGAGGGCTGCCGCGACTTTATATACTAAGCTTTTTATATACTAAGCTTTTTATATTCGTCTAACAAAACTCAAATTGAATTCAGCTGGACACACTTTCCTGTTTATCCACACAGTAAACCATGGATACTATTACTATTATTATTAATACTATGGTATTATAACCCATGGATCTGTTCTGTTTGGCTGTGGTTGTATGTCTAGTTAGCACACAATCTTGCCGTGTTTCATGTCAGTCGTTCAGCCTGTCGTGATCGTGTTCCTGAACTCTGCTTCAGATGCTGCGGTGACTTTAGGAATGGTGCTGCTTCATGAGGCTGCGACCTCTGACCTGGACATTGGGAAGAGGAAAAGTATGCTGTCGAATGTCCTGTGCTCTATGGATTATGAATGCTTGATAAGTCAGTGCAGGTTTAATTGTTGTCTTGTTTTCTCTGCAGTCATGTGTGTAGCAGGAATCGGGCTGGTGGTGCTGTTCTTCAGTTGGCTGCTCTCCATCTTTAGGGCCAAATATCACGGATATCCTTACAGGTGAGATCATTAGACCGCTGTTTAATAAACGGCTGGAAATATCAATGCAAAGGTCTGAGAGCACTAATGAAAATCCTTCGGTAATGCATTTTTTTTTATTTAATGCAAAATTACAGATTATATAACTTGAGTAAAATTACTTCGAGAATTCCTTAGTATTTGCTCTTTCACTGTTTTGCTTCAATAACAGCAGCACAGGAGCTAAATCTAATGTGACTAATGATGTTCTAAGCGTGATTTAAGATCTAAAGAGCATCTTGATCTTCAGTGGAAACCAAATCTGATGTCTGTGTCACATGATCAATGACACTACATTTGAATAGTGACAGAAATGGTGCAGAATCTTAAAGGGGTCCTATTATGCTCTTTTACAAAGTCTTGATTTTGTTTTGGGGGTGTACTAAAACATGCTCTCATGATTAAAATTTACATTATTAAAATACCTTTCTCCCCATCCTGGCACAAACGGCTCGATTAGTTCCGGCTTTGATGAAGGTCCGCCTTCCGAAAAACAAAATGTGTTGTGATTGGTTAGCTGTCCCAGTGCGTTGTGATTGGCGAACAGCTTAGACGGTGTTTCAGTACTGCCCAACGCTGTAGTCCAAACGAGCCGTTCGTTGTAGTTCTTGAAAAGGGATTTTTTTTTAAACGAAATATCTCCCTTTGGAGTGGACTTTGAGATTTGTAACTTTCTAGATCTTTTTTATGCCCAAACATACACACTACACACTGACTAAAATTAAAAAAGTGAAAAAGCATAATAGGACCCCTTTAAATAAATATCATTATTCATTACCGTTCAAAAGTTTGGGATCGGTAAATTTTTTTTTACATTTTTTTTCCTTTTTTTTTTTGTATAATTATTTTATTCAACAATGATAATCAAAAGTGACACTAAAGACATTTAAGATGTTAGAAAAGATTTCTCTTTCAAATATATGCTGTTCACTGAGCTTTCTATTCATCAAAAAATCCTGTTTCCACAAAAAAAAAAAAAAATGCAGCAGCTAAAACTGTTTTTATTGAGCAGCAGATCAGCATATTAGAATGATTTCTGAAGATCATGTGACACTGAAGACTGGAGTAATGATGCTGAAAATTCAGCTTTGAAATCACAGGAATAAATTACACTTTAAAATATATTCACAGAAAATAGTTTCTTAAAATTGTAATAATATTTCACATTTTTACAGTTTTTAACTGTAATTTTGTTCAAATAAATGCAGCCTTACTGAGCAGAAGAGACTTCTTTCAAAAACAAGAAAATCTTACTGAGCTCAAATGTTTGAATGATAGTCTAGAAAATCTATTAATGTGATCACACATTTAATTTAGGAATTTATTCATACAAATGATGACTTTATTTTTTGCATTTAATTTATTTACTGACATAAACGCCTTTTCTCTTTGTGCAGCTTCCTGCTTGGTTAAATGAAGACCCTCGGAGGAACTGTGGCAAATATTAATGCGCAAAGTGCCTTAATGTTTAAAACGAGTGATCGATATGGTAAAGTTCTGCTTGAGCCTGTATGTGCCTTTTTGCTTTCTTTTTATATATTACAGATTAGATTTGAAAAGTTTTTAATGAAAGTTTGTTAAATTCATGTGATTTCTCTCCCCGAGTGGTGTAGTGTAAGGAAACGTGGTGTCGGTTACACAGAGGATAAACTGAAGCAGATACACTGTATGGCATCGCTTGCTAACTAGGTTTCTTAGCGAATCAAATGCAGTTTTATATTGAATTTGGTTCAAATGCGTAGATTTGGAAGACGCACAAAAGCAAGCAAGGTGTTTTCACTTCTACCTCATAAATGTGCATATCGAGTGTCCAAAGTCAAATCAAAGTCGTCTAGCTTCTGAGGTGGTTCAGTATGAGATGGAGGGAAAGCTCAGGGTGAATGAAAGTGTCCTAAATGTGGAGTGTTTGCTGTTGTCCTGCCTCAGGTGATGATTTCTGCCATTAAAAGTGCCTTGATTACTTGTTGCATTGTATTTCTTTTGACTGCTCATCCAGTTCAGCTTTGAGTCACTCAGACCACTTTCAACTGTGATACTGTACAATAACAAAGTAATTACTGGTTCATGGCTATGTTTAGAACATTGCATTATGCTACCTACTAATTTTGCAGTATTCCTATATCAACTACTCTTGAGAACAATCTCTGAGGGTCTCAACTTAATCTTCCATTTCTGGTGTGACTCATAAACTGGTTAAAGGTTTGTTGTTTGATCAGACTGGTCAGAATATAGGCTACATAGATACATTCATAAATAAAACTGCGAATGGTGGGAGTTTGGAGTGGATGGGGGGGGTGTTTGAGAACTGTAATTATGAAAAAGTATATATAGTCTAAGAAATTGCACACTCCACTTTTTACTGCATTTATACATGCAATTAGTTTAAAGGGGTCATATGATGCTGCTAAAAAGAACATTATTTTGTGTATTTGGTGTAATGAAATGTGTTTATGCGGTTTAAAGTAAAAAAAACACATTATTTTCCACATACTGTACATTATTGTTTCTCCTCTATGCCCCGCCTTTCTGAAACGCGTCGATTTTTACAAAACTAATCGGTCTGAAAAGCGAGGTGTGCTCTGATTAGCCAGCTATCCAGTGCGTTGTGATTGACCTGCAAATCTTCCCACATAGTGAGGTAGGTATGTGGGGGCGTGTTCGAACGAGCCGTTTTAGGTAGGCGTGGCTAACTCTTAACTTTTATAAAGAATATCTCTTTGGATTTGAGACTTTAGTCTTTGCAACTTTACAGATCTTCTTTATGCACCAAGAGCTTGTAACACTCTAAAGAGAAAGGAAAAAATGAAATCGCATCATATGACCCCTTTAAATGCCAAATAACCGCATTTACTAAGGAGATCTGAGAACTTGATTGCATGTACAGAATTAAACATGCCTAATACGTCGGCGCCGATGGCCTCGTGGGCAGCGTGCCGACATATTGCGCCTTTGCGCTGTCGGCGTCCCGAGTTCGAGTCCCAGCTCGTGGACCTTTCCCGATCCCACCCACCCCCTCTCTCACCCACTTCGCTTCCTGTCGACCTACTGTCCTATCTAAATAAAAGACATAAAACGCCAAAAATAAATCTTACAAAAAAAAAAAAACATGCATAATACTTAAGATCGTCTCATGAGATTCTACAACATCTTTTGCAAGTCCCTCCGGATTTGCAAAAATGCATTCAATGTAAAAAAAATGTTTTAATGGTATTTTCATTGTCTGTCCAGTAGAGGGCAGTGCTGTCTCTCTGAACACTTCCATATTGAATAACACTTAGAAACGATGAGTCATGGAATAACAAACGACCTTTCTGATTTTTTTCCCTTTTATATTCTCATCAACCATAATTGCTAAAGTAAATTCAAGCAAGTTAGCTTAGGTTTAACCACCGTCATAACATCATAAAGAGAAAACAGATGTAAATAGGATGCTGAACTCCATAGGCCTGGAAATATATTAGTATAAGCCATACCACCCATGTCACAATCATGAACATTTTTATAGTTATTTTGCTTACATTCATAGACATCCCCAATCTTTCCCAGTTTTTGTCTTGTCATATCTATCAGTGTAAGTAAATGACTGGGATTACACAACTAAAACAATCCTTTCTTGCTGTGTTGTCCTCTTTGTCTTAACAGGTGCTCTCAGGTAATTTGCAGCTGAAAATCTGCATGTTCTGGTTTAGATGTCAAGGAGCCAATCAGGCCAGACGTTGTGTTTAACTCCATATAAGGACAACCTTGAGTGCTCTCCGTAGTGAGCAGCGGGTGTTTCCCGTGCTGAAGGCACACATTGTTCCTCACAGGGACACTGCCTGGGCTAAATGTGTGCAGCTCTCCACACGCCACACAAATAACCACTGCTATGTGATGTTTACACACCAAAATATAGAAGTAGCATCAATATACATGCTTTCTACGGAAGCCCATGCATGCATTGTTTTTTTTTTCTTGCTTGTCTTCAAAATTTTTCTGTGTGCTTGACATAATAGCGTGTTGTTTTTTTTATTTTTCTGGAAGCAGCAAAAGCTTAGCGCAATCCTCAAGCGAATAGCTGTCTGGCAGTGATTGACAACTTGAGAAGGAGGCTGTCAGGTCTTCATCTTCTGTGTCGGAGACAATATAGAGACCCTGAGTACCTGGACACCTCCATCTCTACAGCAGGAAATGATTAAATATATGATTACGATGGCAACGCCAGTCTCATTCAAAGGGCACTCTCAATACAATTACATTGTGAGAAAACAGAAAGCTTTTTGTTATGTTGAGATCACGAGAATATATTGTTATGTGGAGAGCAAAAGAAGTCAAGATTACAAGAAAACACATTTTTGTTACATGGAGATCGGTAGACATCATAACCGTGAGAAAACAAAGAAGGGAAAAATAATAAAGCATTTCCGTAGCTTTCACGGGTGTGAGGGGATTGACTTTCAGTTGTGTCAATGTGCAGCAAAGAATGTTTTGTTTTAGTGCAGTAATAATCAATCATAATCCACCATAGACATTCCCTCAGTGTTCAGAGCAGTGCTAAATGTCAATATAGCTTTTTAATAACCAGTTCTTATATTATAATTCTTGGACTTCATCATGTCATGTATATATATATATATATATGTTTGGAGAATGTTACTGGAAATCAAGAAGAAAATATATATAGATATATAATATAGAAAGTCTCCCAGGGGTCCAAATGGTGCTGTACAGTGTGAAATGAGCCCTCGGGGATTGGGGCGGCGTTCAAATTCTTGCCTGCATTGTTGAGATGTGCAGAAAAACACTTTTTAAGGTAACATTTTCTGAGAGCTCTTCCTGATTGACATAATCTCTTCCAGCCTTTCCTTTAGCCACGAATGAAAAGTGTTGTTTGGTGCTTGTTCGGAAGGCAGCGAAGCGTGCCAGCACATTTGTGAGGAAGGAAAAAACTGTGCAAATGCTTTTAGCAGGTTTGTGTACAAAACCGGAGTCAAACCGCTAGCAGGAGAATTCCTCAATCCCACTGAACACCAGATAACCCACACAAACCGCACAAATGAAATACAGCAAATAACATACTCATGAAACTCCAGCGTAATTAAAGGCATCTGATATCCTGAAAATCAGGTCTTGTTGTGAACACTCCCCCTTCAGGACACCTGTCTAATGAGGGCGGAGGCCACTGGGTATGAAAAGACATGAATTAAAGATAAAAACAGGTCCAGCTCAGTTTGAATGAAATGCAGCGTCACACCCTCGCCTCTCCGTCTCTGTTTGTGCTGTCTTGGTGTCTAGAGGCGTCCCTCCGCGCATATTATTGTAAAACCATGCCATGTGCCCTTTTAGTTTTGTGGCTGACAGAGACTTTTCTTTTTTTTAATGATCCATGGCCTAACTGGGTGGGTCAAAAGACATAACAGCTCACCACAGTTTAGAAGTCTTTGAGAGGACCACAAAACCAAACCAGCCTCTTTTGATCCAGTTCTTGTTAGATCAGCTTCAGTTTAAAGGGGTCATATGATGTTGCTAAAAAGAACATTATTTGGTGTATTTGGTGTAATGAAATGTGTTTATGCGGTTTAAAGTTAAAAAAGCACATTATTTTCCACATACTGTACATTATTGTTTCTCCTCTATGCCCCGCCTTTCTGAAACGCGTC